GCCATACAATGCAGGAAGACCTGTTGGCATTAAAATTCTCCTTGACTGTTTTATAGGTCCCGGCACACAACTGCATAACCGATGAGCTGGCAAGGAGACGGACCGAAATATCTGAATACCATTCAGCTCAAAATGTGGGCATACCTCTAATCTCCAACACAGACTGCGCAAACCACCTGCAATTCGACCACAGCTCTCCCTCGGCTGGACCGCTTCTCTCTCAGAATAGTAGTCGAGGCAATCACCTGACACTGCCTGATGGACACGCACGGAAAACGGTTAGGATACACCCGCAACGATTGGTTTCGCAGTTGCAGAGACGAGGAAGAGGTGGAGATCATCGTATATTATCTTTGCCACTATCCCGCCTTGGCCAAACTCTGCACCAATTCTTCAACCAGTACTTTTTAGAATGTTTAGTCGTCCTGAACTCGGCGAACATTATCGGGTTTTTGTGCTGCATAAAACGCACTCAGTGCTTCAATTACTAAGGGAGGGCGAGAAACAAATGGCTCCTACCAGTGTTACCCCATTGGGCTTTTCTAGCATACGTGTGACCCTCTAACCTAACCTAACCGAAACACTGTCAGCGACCCCAATTTTTTTAAATATTTTTTTTTTTAACTTCCGTGAATGTCTTTCCTATGTACGTAGAACAAAATAATGGAATGCCATTGATGTTGACAGTTTAAGGACCACCCTAGTATGCATTTAAATATTCCGAAGCATTTCAATACAATAAAAATTGAATACCATTCAAATGAGATCGAATTCCAAAGATGCACAGTTCGACGCTACAAATTATCGCAATGCCATCGAGATAACGTGTTTGAGAAAATGTTAAGAAATTTCGCAGCAAGCAACAGAAGTCGAAGGCAGGTAGCAATGACATCAATCGCAAAATCAGCACTACATACATTATCGCACTATGCATCACTCTTACGGCACACGTGCNTGTTTCGCAGTTGCAGAGACGAGGAAGAGGTGGAGATCATCGTATATTATCTTTGCCACTATCCCGCCCTTGGCCAAACTCTGCACCAATTCTTCAACCAGTACTTTTTAGAATGTTTAGTCGTCCTGAACTCGGCGAACGTTATCAGGTTTTTGTGCTGCATAAAACGCACTCAGTGCTTCAATTACTAAGTGAGGGCGAGAAACAAATGGCTTCTACCAGTGTTACCCCATTGGGATTTTCTAGCATACGTGTGACCCTCTAACCTAACCTAACCGAAACACTGTCAACGACCCCAATTTGTTTAAATATTGTTTTTTTTAACTTCCGTGAATGTCTTTCCTATGTAAGTAGAACAAAATAATGGAATGCCATTGATGTTGACAGTTTAAGGACCACCCTAGTATGCATTTAAATATTCCGAAGCATTTCAATTCAATAAAAATTGAATACCATTCAAATGAGATCGAATTCCAAAGATGCACAGTTCGACGCTACAAATTATCGCAATGTCATCGAGATAACGTGTTTGAGAAAATGTTAAGAAATTTCGCAGCAAGCAACAGAAGTCGAAGGCAGGTAGCAATGACATCAATCGCAAAAACAGCACTACATACATTATCGCACTATGCATCACTCTTACGGCACACGTGCACTACGTCCGCCTACGTTTTTCACCTTTGTCTAGGGCTGTTATGTACATATGTACATATGTATGTATGTACGTATGTATAACTAAATGAGTATATATATGCACATATGTTCTGCGTGTATCGAATGAATCGATTTGCATGCATTGATAGCAAGTGAAATTGCATGAAATTACAGCGAAAATACCCAAACGCTGCCAGAATGAGGGAAATGGTAAAACGGTAACACAATTGCGTTTATCTTTCAAATGCAATGGCAACAACTAGATTTTCACCCGACAGCTACCTACAACAGTTACGAGTATCTTGTGGAGGATATAATGAAATGCAAAGCAATGCAAACATCGATCGCATACAAATGGGTTCATGAATTCATCGGGCATTGATTGCTCGTTGCCTTCCGTAGTGGTGAAGAGAATTAACTAAACTACTCAGATACGACGAGTATTTATTTGAATCGAAGTAAGGAGCGCTGGAAAATGCTGGATTTTAACTTTTTTATCGTTTACTTTGAATTGAATTGGATTGGCAAGATGTTAAAATCGTTTACGTGAATGATGTTTTACGTGAAGTTAACACTGCTTGATACTTGAATTACTTGCAGTTGGATTTTTTTTTAAATAAATGGAATGCTTGAAATTGAAGCTACAGTGGCAAGTAAAGCTGAACCAAAAAAAGTTAATGGAAATGATGAATTTGTATATGAATATGATTACGGATGCACATGCATTTGCTATAGATATAAATGATAATATGAATTTGAAAGTGCAGATGAATGTAAACATGAATATGGACATGGATAGAAATATGAGTTTGAACATGAATGCAATTTTGAGTGTGAATATGAATATGCCAGTGAATATGGATATGGTCCAAAAATGCATGTGAAAAAGTAAAGTCGGAATTTTTATGCTCTCACTCCCTAGGATTGTTCCATACCGAAAAAATGTACCCTTATTTTTTATTTTGAAATAAAAAATATTTAGAGGTCGCTCAAAGCAGGAGAAAACAACTTTTCGTAGAAATAGTATAGAAAATCAATATTTTTCTACCAGAAAACTCTGTTTATCTGCAGGAGATTCCCAATAATAATACCCAATTGTTTATTTAACCATTTCTACATCGCAGCTATATTTTGTAGGTATTTAAAAATAGGAAGCAAAGTATTGTTACTCTAAATTTTTAACTATTAAAAAAAAGTTCCTCAATCGAATTTTTTCCTGCTTTACTGACCCTTTTAAAGATTTTCTACGTTCGGGTTCGGGTTGATTTTCCATTTCTTGTTCGAAACCTTTTATTTGGGACTTTTCGAGATTTTCTGATTTTTTTTTTTTGATTTTCGTGCCTTATTCGTGCCTACTTGGAATTTATTTCGGCCTATGTGGTATTTATTCGGGAGTATTCGGATTTTTTTTTAGAGAATTTGCATGATTTGTGAAGTTTTTGCGAGGCAAAAAGCAAAGTTTTGCCTTAAAATTTTAGGTATTAATAAGTTACATAAATATATGTTTATCTACTATATTAGACTTTTGTTTTTGATTATTTTGAGAGATTTTCTAAATATTTCAAGTTTGCATCGATTTTCTGTTTCTTATTCGAAGTAACAAAAATAAGAGAAATATGAATTTTTTGGAGCTTTTTGAGATTTTTCAAAATTCTATAAGCACACATTCAGTGGGTTTTTATGATTTTCCGATTTTTTTACAACCACTTCATTTGCTTCGACACTTATTCGTGATTTTTCAAAATTTTTCGAGATGTCTCGAAAATGTTTCTGAACATCTCGGGATTTGTTTCTCGGGTTTTTAGCTTTTATTTGTTTTTTTTTTTGATAACTTTTCGGGATCTGTAGAAATTTCTGAAGGGGTTTCCAGAATATTTCGGGGTTTTTCGTGGCTTTGAGTATTTTACGGTACATTTTAATATTAATGTTGCCTTNGTTTTTCGTGGCTTTGAGTATTTTACGGTACATTTTAATATTAATGTTGCTTTTTATTTTATTTTGGAAGTTTGCGTGGTTTATTGGAAACCTTTTGTTTTCGTTCGAGTAATTTTCAGGATATTTCTAAAATTTTTGAAATTTTATCGACAAAGTACAGGATTTCTATCGGACTTTTTGGGTTTTTTTGCAACCTTTCAGAAGTGTTTTCGATATTTACTGGCACAAATTTGCTTCTGAATAAAATGCCTAGTTTAGCGGGTTTTTTCTACTTTAAAAATATTTTATTTTATTTTTTTTTCATTTGCATTTAAGTATGTTGAGAATCTTACTTTTTTGTTTTTCTTTAGCTCGAAACATTAAAAGTCCGATATTTTTCGCTTTTTGTTACAAAATTGATATTCGAAACTGTTTCTGGTGGAAATTGTTTATGAATAAAGTTCGTGGCAAGATGGTAGGGCCATCAATCTGTAGTTATGGTGCTCGCTCTTTGTGTCGGAACGAAAAACTTCCTCGCAGTTATTTATGGAAAAATTCGTAATACAGTATTCCCCGCTTAATTAAACTACAAAAGGCACCCTTTTTGGTTCAGTTAACCAGGGAATCAATTAATAGGGGGGCTGGGGGAGATATTGAAGGTATATCTCCTTCCGATAGCACATATTTTTAACCAATTATGCGGGGAAACCAATTAACCGAGGGTCAATTAAGAGGGGAATACCGTAATGCGATGCCGGTGCCATATCCCATAATTTGATATTTATTGAATAACTGTAGATTGTACAACATGACAACGGTCTTTTAAAAGTACAAAAGTCCGAAGGGTGCCCTTCGAAACGAAATATAATTTGAAACCACAAGGCCCCCTCTCAACCCTTCTAATTTTTATCGGAAATATTATTGCTCACAACAAAATTTGAAAAAAGTAATTTGATTTCGTTACACCAGCCACAACCATCTTCACTTTCTTACACCCTCGACAAAGGTATAAAAGGAATAGGCACCCTGAATTGTTGTCAAAAAGGCGCTCAAATGTATTGGAATCAGCCCAGCAGCATAAGGTACCGTACTTTTTAAGTTGCGCTCGGTGAAAATGCACATTAGACGTCGATATGTCTGATTTTGTTCCATCCAATTGCTGCTATAAATCCGATGTTGCAAATCATCTATCGAGTTGGTGAAGACCGTGCCATAGTAGCAAGTGGGAAATATTTGCAGTTGCACCGCGACCAAGTAAAGGAAAAACAATAGCTTATCCGATGCAGTATTCGCGAAGAAAACGAAAGTTATCAAAACAAAGCCGTCCTGAAAGGCAGTCACAGAATATTGAAGAAACACCGGAATGGATATGATTTCTTGTACCATTGCGCTCAATCTAAATATTCAAAGAAAAGTAGTAAGTCTTACGTATGAGTTTTATACATAACATGTGAAATATTAAAAAACAGAGTTTTCGCTACCTATACAGGTATTGATGATCAATAATACAGCGCTGCAATTCTGCGATATTCGCCCGTACATCTTCACTGCTGTGTCCAATTCTAGCCAGCCGTTCGCCCAACAAATGCGTATGATCCGATAGCACACATAAAGCAACCGCCGGAAATGTGTCATTCACTAAAGCCTGCAACAGATCGAATACTAGTAGCCCCAGTTCAATACCCACCGCCGCAATATATGCTGTGGTCGATGCGCGGTAATCGAAGAAAGGCATTGCGATTTCAAAGGCCAAGCGACGCTCACCAATTGACGCTGCGAACGACATTAATGTAACTGCGAAGAAAAACGTGCACATGCCACGTGATGCATTCATGATGAAGTCGGTGCGTCGTTGAATGTCCGCGAAGTACTTGCGATCTTCAGCGAGCTGTATGCGCGCATCCAAATTACTGAAAACTTGTTCTAACTCCCGCACCAATTCAAGCTTTTTGTAGTAGCTTATGTATTTGAAACTTGCGGTGAATGAACCGGCGCAAAGGGGCAGCACTTGAAGTNAGACCGTGCCATAGTAGCAAGTGGGAAATATTTGCAGTTGCACCGCGACCAAGTAAAGGAAAAACAATAGCTTATCCGATGCAGTATTCGCGAAGAAAACGAAAGTTATCAAAACAAAGCCGTCCTGAAAGGCAGTCACAGAATATTGAAGAAACACCGGAATGGATATGATTTCTTGTACCATTGCGCTCAATCTAAATATTCAAAGAAAAGTAGTAAGTCTTACGTATGAGTTTTATACATAACATGTGAAATATTAAAAATAGAGGTGTCGCTACCTATACAGGTATTGATGATCAATAATACAGCGCTGCAATTCTGCGATATTCGCCCGTACATCTTCACTGCTGTGTCCAATTCTAGCCAGCCGTTCGCCCAACAAATGCGTATGATCCGATAGCACACATAAAGCAACCGCCGGAAATGTGTCATTCACTAAAGCCTGCAACAGATCGAATACTAGTAGCCCCAGTTCAATACCCACCGCCGCAATATATGCTGTGGTCGATGCGCGGTAATCGAAGAAAGGCATTGCGATTTCAAAGGCCAAGCGACGCTCACCAATTGACGCTGCGAACGACATTAATGTAACTGCGAAGAAAAACGTGCACATGCCACGTGATGCATTCATGATGAAGTCGGTGCGTCGTTGAATGTCCGCGAAGTACTTGCGATCTTCAGCGAGCTGTATGCGCGCATCCAAATTACTGAAAACTTGTTCTAACTCCCGCACCAATTCAAGCTTTTTGTAGTAGCTTATGTATTTGAAACTTGCGGTGAATGAACCGGCGCAAAGGGGCAGCACTTGAAGTATATCGGTTAAGTTGGTGCTGTTGAAAAGCGAAAGAAATACAATGCCTGGATAGAGCACAATGATGATTAGATTGATGCAGATACTGTAAAAGGAATAGAGTAGCTGATAGCGTAGCACCGGCTGACGAACGCAGCCCAGCATAAGCCAGTAGCGCCAGTGTATACGAAAGAAATAGCGACTATTCACAGGCGACCGATTCATTTCGTTTGACCAGGGAAACTAGCGAATTTAATGAAACGCGGATACGGACGGCTTAATCATCGACATGTTCTCTTTTGTGGGAAATGAAGGTGTTGTCTTCGTCCTTACATAATAAATTATGAGAAACAGTTTATTATTTATTATTTTATATTAGATCCAATTAAAAATATTTTATTTTTAGCACACTAATGCGAGGAAATATATAGACCTGCATAGGTGCTTTTGTTTTGCCGGTGTACTTTTGTACAATATAACATATATATCGTGACTAATAATTTATTTTTTTTTAGAACGATTTGTGGAGGTGCAATTCGATGAAATCCATCATTTCAATCAAAAAGTGAATTTTGAACTTTTTATTGGTTACGACATTTTGCATTTCAGTGGCGATGCTAAGTGTTTTTGCATTTCAGGTGACGATATGTAGTTATATGCACAGCAGTGGTGGGCGTCAATCAGCTTCCCTGCGGCCAAAGCTCTTTCAAGCTTTCCTTACTAAATGTAAACAACGCTTGAAAGAGTTTTGCCCGCGTAAGACCGGTGCCCACCATCGATCTATGTCAAATTCGCCAATGGTTGGAGTCAACCCTTTTTTGATTTCGATGAATTTTTGGTCACAACTTTTCTTCTATCATATTTATAACAAAGTTCTGCCAAAGAGGAAAAATGTTTCAGAAAGGTTGAAAGTTCTGAACTTCGAAATTTCCCGAATTTTGCAAATTTATTTTTGAATATATTGTAATAAAAACAAATGGTTACATATATTAATTTTTGGGAATTTTTTTTATGCAATTTCTCCAATTGAGCTTGATATTTTCAAGGTGCTTTTTAAAGATACGAATTTTTGAAATGTTAAAAATTGATTAGTTCCAAACTCTATCTTTAAACAAATTTAATTTAACAACAAAAATAAAAGTTTACAAAAACTTTACCTAGAGTTTGGATTTTATTTTCAAAGTTCAAAAATTCATATCTTAAAAAAAACACCATCTTGAAATTTTTAGGATCTTTTAAGATCAGTTTTAGATATTGAATTAAGAAGTTTTACTCACAAATTTTTATAAGTTTTCTATTACGATTTTTAAAATTAAAAATTTTGAAAATTTTTGTATGTTTCGAAGCTTTTAAAATGCATATAGTTCTAGCTTTATATCCCTAATTATTCGCTTTAAAACTCGAGCAGAACAATTTGTGTAACTTTAATAATTTCTGAGATACTCATAAAATATTTGCAAAATTGCTTATGAAACGTTTCTGAATGTTTCGAAATTTTGGATATCCTTTAACGATTTGGAGTCACTACGCTTCCCACAACCGGCGCCTATTGATCCATCTTCGAAAGAATTTTCCTAGAAAAAGTAACGGTCGGTGGACAGCACCGCCAACGAACTTAAGAAAACCTGGTCGGAAATCTGACGATGGGCAACTCGAGGTCCGTCCTAGTAGGTCTTTGCAAGCTGTATAAAAACATCCTCATGAAGTATCCGGTTCCCGCATATGTAGTAAAGGATGCTACGCCCTACCAAGGTCGGGCAAAGGTAGTGTGCATGTGGTGACAGGGGCTAACAATAGGGGTATTCACCACATTTAACAAGTGACCTGGCATTCGGGTAAAAAAGCTGTTTCGCTCAAAGCAACCAAAGTTGTCAATGCTGCTTTACTAACTCTAAAACAGCTATCGAATGCAGAAATGTTCTCAACGATGTGGACTCCAGGTACACCATACGTATGATTTGGGTTCCAGGACACAGAGATGTACCAGTTAATTGTGAGGGAGAATAAAAGATGAGGACTGGCACATCCTGCCAACTGTTGCATAAAGCCTGCTTTGTCGAACTGGCGAACAGAAAGTGGTGCCGCGAATCCACATGTGCGGTAGCACATTAAATCTGGCGCAGACTCGACAACGATAGGTCCAGCGTCCTCATTCTCATTGAATGCTGTCAACTAAGGGTGATTGTTGAAATCATAACAAATCATTACCTAATGGAATGGAGAAAGTATGTGCCACTGTCCGAAACTAACGAGTCTCTGGTAACTTTATCCTCATAAACACTTTTTTGTCAGTCGGGCAAAAACATTAAAATTGAGTAAGTGTTCTTAAAGACACTTTCAAAAGCATCCATGCAGCTCTCTAATAGTACTGTCATATAGTATATGTACATTAGGGTAAGTAATTTTTTTTTTACCATGCGCCTTTACGTGTAATACTAATACAATTTTCCGAAGAATCCATGGACCTAAAATCAATTTGGAGTTTGCCAAATTGCGAAAATAGGTTTAGAAGAAAATGTGAAAATTTTCATTGCTGCGACCTCTGGCGGAAGTTTTAAGAAAAAGATAAATGCAGAAATAGATTCATCTTACCAAAAAATCCCTCATGGCATGTTTTTATACAAAATTTAAGCACTTATTTACGACACTACGGCGAAATGCTAAGAAACCGATTTTCGCAATTTGGCAAACTCCAAATTGATTTTACACCCACGGTTTCTTGGGCAAGTTTGCTTAGAATTACACGGACTCTGTGCTATACGATCATAGTCGAAAAAAATCTCCCATTACAAATTGACCCGCCCTAATGTACTTGGGTACATATTATAGATAAAGCGTTCGCACCTCATGTCATTATTCTCAAATTTAATTGGTGGTATTATTCGCGAATGGATATTCTACAATTTCCTAGGTACGTACATATAAAATTAAGTTTGATAAAGGTACTAAGAAGCTTCATACACACATACGAATGTATGTACATCCATATGCACATAGTATGTATTTACGACTATAGTTTAACTTGAACGCCGTTGAATATTTAAAGGACGTTTAGTTTTGTGTAATTAATTTAATTCATCAATTCAAAAGTGTTTGCTAATCTATTTAACGTAAAAGTTTATTTGGAATTTTCTTCAGAGTAAAGGTGTTATTAACTTTATAGGCAATTTAATTATGTTAACATTTTCTGCAATTGTCACGTATCAAAGAACGGGAAGTGTGAAAAAATCAAAACCAAATCTCAGGTTTGGAACGTTTTAGGTTAGGTAAGGAAAAGTTATCAAGGGATTGCTTGGAGTATTATATTACATAAAATGTCCTGGACCACCCGCCAACCCCCTCTAAAATGGAGGAAAATGTTTTTTTTATTGAAAAACGCAAAAATATGACCTACAAAATCGGATATGCTCTATCTTTTAGTGGTATTACTGACTTCCGGTTTCGACCGGACGTGCCTTTTGCAACCCCTTTATGACTTTCGAACTTCAACTCATCCTAGACTTCTAAAATGAACAAAAGTGTTTTTATTGGAAAACGAAAAAATATGAATCACCAAATAGGGGATGCTCCATCTTTTAGTCGTATTACCGACTTCTGGTTTCATGGGTTGAACTGACCGGAAGTCCATTTTATAAGAATAATAATAGAACCTACATGTTTTTACCACAGCTTCGGTTGCTGTGGACAAAAATACGTAATTTTTGCAGGAAATATTTTTTTTGCAATGGGCTTCCAGTTAAAAGGATGCTTAAACAAACCAACCCGCTTCCGGTGAGACTACTTATTAACGAAGCCATAAATAGTAACCGCTTGGATCCAGTATTTAGAGAAGCCAAGCATACAAAGCACTTTAGAGAGACTAAGCGCGTTCTCTAGGTTTTGGGCCACAAAGGCATAGAAGGAAATCAAGGGGCAGACAGGATTGCTAGGGAGGCGGCAGCAACCACATCAGTAGATTCCGAGCAGCGTTAGGCAAAGCAGCTATCGGGAGGATACAAAAGGAAAATATATGATAAGCTCATTAACCTCGCAAAGGACAAACTAAGTATTCTAACAGGTATCTCAACAGGTCATTACAGACTAAGATGCCTCATACAACAAACTCGGGAACTAGTCTAATGATTCGAGCTGCTTCTGCGACAGGGCAGCTGAAAGTTTGGGCACATACTCCCCGAATAAGGATGTAGTGGCGAGAACATGGGCAAGTACATTGGGTCACTAAACCCACAGTCGAATTACATGCACTCGATATCACCAAACAACATACTGCACCTCTCGAGGGAGTTCGGATTGACCGAGGTGTTGGAAAGAGCAGGAGAGCACAATAGAACTATTGGTCGCAGTGCATTCCTCAAACTTATATCTAGGTTTCCTGTCTTGCCAGCTCATCGGCC